CGAGGCGGGCGGCGGCCGCCTGTGCTTCCGCAGTCCCGCGCGCGGCTTCCGCTGCCAGGCTCCAGGCTGCGCGGCTCACCGCTCGGCCGGCCACTCACTGCGCGCCAGCGTCCTGCGCAACCGCAGCGTCCTGCTGCAGTGGCGCCTGGCGCCGGCCGAGGCGCTCAGACTACGCGGCTTCGCGCTCAACTGCTCCTGGCGTGGCGCCTACACGCGCTTCCCGTGTGAGCGCGTGCTTCTCGGTGCCTCGTGCCGCGACTACCTGCTGCCCGACGTGCACGACGGCGTGCGCTACCGCCTGTGCCTGCAGCCGCTGCCGCTGCGCGCCGCACCCGGGGCGCCCCCCGCGCCCACCACGCCGTCGCCGCTCGCGCCCGCGGAGTGCGTGGAGTTCGCCGCCGAGCCGGCCGGCATGCGGGAAATCGTGGTAGCTATGACGGCGGTGGGCGGCTCTATCTGCGTCATGCTCGTGGTCATCTGCCTGCTGGTGGCCTACATCACCGAGAACCTCATGCACCCGGCCTTTGGACGCCCCGGACCGCGCAGGCAACCCTGAGCCGCGCAGTTGCCCCGCCAGAGGAGTGCGTCTGAGCCCCGGGCCCATCTGCCGCTCGCCCTGCCCTCCCTGTACCTGCGCGCACCTTAGGATCCCACTTGGCACCCGCTGGACTTGGATGGCGACCGGCTGGTTGACGACGCCGGGCCTTATCATCGCAGGACCTTCTCAGCCAGACGTCTGTGTCCCAGAGTCCAGCTCAGGACTGGTCCTTGGGTCCGGGCTGCAGTGCCAGCCTCATCCGAGGCACTCCCACCTCTACAGAGGCCTTTATAGGGGCGGCCAGGACGCATGGCCCCTTCCAGCAAGAGCCATTGTCACCCCCGGGTTGTCACTCCACACCTGCAGCTTATGCCAAGTTGGCAGAGCTGGGTCATCATCCCTGCTTGGTCACTGTGTGCTTTGCAGGCTCAGGGGCCCCTTAGAGCCTGTCCTTCCCACACCCCACCCCACCCCACCCCAGTGGGCTTGGGTTTGCTTCGTGCCTTAGTACTAGGGCCCACTGTAGGAGCCACCCACCCATCCCCCAGTCCAGCGCCCAGCACCCTGTTGTCCAAAGGGGTCTATGGCTGCGATTGGTCAGCTTGTGCATCCTGTGTCCTGAGTCCCCCCCTGGGACTCCCCTTCCAAGGTTTGCAAGAGCACCCTATTGCCCTCAGCAGAGGCCGGGTAGAGTAGCATTCTGGGTGTTTCCTACCCTGGCATTTGATGAGCCAGCAGCCGTGATGTAGCCCAGCAGTCCTAAGGTCCAGCTGCCACATCCAGGGTGAGTGACTGACCTTGGAGGAAGCTGACTGCTCTCCAGGGCTATCACCCCCTTTCCTTTTACCTGGGCCACCTTCAACTAGGACTTCCCACTGGGGGTGGGCTGGGACAGGTGACTGTGGAGAGGGGCTCTGACGTAAGGGGACAGCACTGGACCAGAGAACAGAGGAGCCAATGTCAGCTGGACCCAGGTGAACCTTCTGCTGTGGTCTAGACCCCAGGCCTCCAACCACCGGGAAACCTCTGTGGCCACGGTACAACCAACAGCACCCACCACCCTTTCCTGGGTGTAAGGGTCAGGAGCCCAGGATTCAGGTCCAGCGAGGCTGCCCACCCACACTATGGATGGAAGGCTGGCCTTGCCCCCTCTGGGCAGACCCCAGCACCCCAGCCACCTGGCAATGCTGGGCACCAGGAGGGATGTCAGCGCTGCCTGGTTCTCCATGAGCCGCAGACTCTGATCACCTGGACTTGACCCTGGCGCTTCCTGGAGTCACTGTGGCTAACCTTACCCTCCACTCCAGTGACCACCAGCCCTAGCAGGTGCTCCACAGCACCCACTCCCACCTCCTGTGTCTTTGCTCTGCCCGCCCCCAGCACAGTGCTGGGCAAGTGTGAGTCTGGCGCCCATGTCTAAAGTCTTCATCATTCTCTCAGATGATGTCATGTGTGTTTTTTTGGAAGGCAGGAGAAAAGGGTGCAGAGGTGAGAGAAGGAAGGAGTAGCCCCTTTCCCCCAGCTCCCCCAAAGACCTCTTAAGCATCAACAGAGTGGCTGAGCCTGACCCTTTTCTCAGTCAGTGTGGGGTCCACCCCAGGCAGAGAGTGCACAGGCACCCAGCCGTTGCAGCTTCTGGCAGGAGAACAGCAGTGGCCCGCTGCCCATCTGTCCACCTCCGACCTTGGGAAATAAACCAATAGTATCTCCTCCTCCGCCTGCTGTCGGGCAGGGGTGGGGGTGCGGCACCTGCTGCAGTTAGAAATAGCCCAGTCTCACGGTGACCCACTTGAGCTGTGACAGGCAGCAATTAGGCAGCTCTGGGAGGGAGGCCTCCTCCCCAGCCTGGGATCTCCACCTGCGGCTGCCAGTGGTGGGAGTGTTGAAGTCCAGGTGGGGGTGGATGGGGTGATGAGCCTTGTCCCCAAGTGTGTGGAGCCAGCACTCTTGCCCCAACTCGGCCTCCCTCCCTACCATCCCAGCTGTCCTTGAGCCGCCCTCAAGCTGCAGGCAGTGACCCTGAGGAAGCAGGCAGCTGGGGGCGGCCAGGCTCTGAGTGACTCATTCCCCCAGAGGAGGGAGGTCGGTGTGGCGATGTGTCTAGACAGCTCGGGGTGGCAGTGGGAGGGGGTTCCAGCTCCAGCAGTGCAGATCCTGGTCCCTGGAGCCCCTGTGCCTCACTGGACTCATGCCCACCAGTCAAGGCTCAATTGTCTTCTAGGAGAAGCAGGAGTCGGGCAATGGTAGTACCCAGTCCAAGGGGCCTGGGACCTAGGTGCCTCTGGGAGCATAGCTGTCCACCCTGACCCTGCTGGGGTGCAGTCAGCCTCCAGGGCTGAGCTATGACGTTATGCAAGGCCTGCCCTCTACCTCCTCCAGCCCTCAGCCGGTTCATACCCCACTGTGTGCTTGAGTCAGCAAGCGCTGTGGGACTGTCGGGTGAGGAGACTCGGTGGGCCCAGCTCTGACCTGCAGCCTTGGCCTCCTGAAGGGCGCTCTTAGGGCCCATTCCAGGGCTTCATGGAGGCCTGGAGTCTAGCTCTGGTTTGCAGGAACAGGGCCTGAGGGCCCCGACCTGTAGGGTTGCATATGAGCCTTGGCCCAGCGTAGCCTGGAGCTGGAACCCAGACAGAGACATCCTGCTGAACTCACAGTCCACTAACTATGGACAGTCCCACCCTTCTCTCAGAACCATAGGGCATGCCCCAGCTCCTCCTCCAGCTCCCGCTGCACCCCATCTTTGAGGCAGACATTGCACTTCTGGCCCCATGCAGATATTTTTTTTCTCCCTCTCTGCCTCCACCCAGCTCCACTCTTGTGGCCAGGAGAGCATGTGTCGACCCCCTTTGGGGCTCCCAAGTACACTGGAGGTGAAGCCGAGCTCCTCCACTGATGTTGGAGGCTTGGCCTTTCTCCCTGGTGTCTGAAGACGCTTTCTGCCATGAGGTAGAGCCACTTCTGCTATGACTCCAAAATGTCACGGGATTTCCCAGGCAGCCCCTGCTCTGCCCCATAGGAGCCCTGAACTTTTCTGTGCTCCAGTCCCCTCATCTGGAAAATGGGAGCAGTCCTGGGATTGACTCACTGCTTTATGGGACTTCAGAGAGAGACCCGGATGGAAGGCAGTGCACTGCCACCATCATTGTCACCTTCCAGACCACAGTGTGTGTGCAGGGCCCCTTCCTGACATGCCCACCAAGGTAGCTCAGAAGCCTCTTACACCCACTGTGTTCAGAACAGAGCTCTAGACGCCCCCAGGCCCTGACCCACAACACTTGTTCCCCAGCTCCCTGCTGGGCAGCAGCCTCAGTCAGTCTACTAATATTCCCTGAGTGCCCCTAGAGGCCTGGCCCCAGGGCTCCAGCAGTGAAGAAAAGGGCACTGCCAGGTAGTTGCTCAAGACAGAAGCCAGACACTACGATGCAAAGGAGCAGTGATGCAGGTGTGGTGGGATGCAGAGGTGCAGGGGTGAAGGGATATAGTGATAAAGGGGTGCAGGGGTGAAGGGTACATGAATGTAGGGGTACAGGGATGAAGGGGTGATGGGTGCATTAGGAAGCCAGACCTGCCCACCCAAGCCAGGCTCCTCTCCAGGGTCCCCAATAGGCAGCTGCTCATTCTGCTTGGTCCACCAGCTGGAGACAGGGCTTAGAGAGTCCTGGGGCTCCCATTTAAGCCCCAGACCCCCCTGAAGGACCTGGGGCTTGGTCAGCACTGGCAGTGTGAGGACCTCATGCTTCCTGAGGGTGCTCAGCTGGGGGACATGATGGGGGTGGGGGTGGAGGGGAGGCAGGCAGAACCAAGGGCAAATAGAAGAAGAATTTCATGATTGGAAGTGGGAGTAGGATTGAAGGGCTGCTGTTTCCCTAGTGATCTCAGGATTAGGGTCAGAAGTCTTGGGTTTGGTCTTCAGGGACAGTCCCAGGAGCTTCTGGAGACCCTGGCCTGGGGATGAGAGGCTGGGCCACTGTACACTTTGTGCAGAGGGAGTCCTGGGTGCTGACACCTGGGCTTCCTGCAACCTTCACAGACGTCTAGGGACCGGAAATGTGGGTAAGATGTGGCCCCATTAGAGGGAGGAAGACAGAGCTTTGGAGAGGAAACGGTTAAGGACCACTTGTTCTTTCTTTTAGGGCACCATCAAGGCATCTTTCCCTCTGGGTTTCCTTCTCATTCAGTCCTCCTTTAGATTTTTTTTTTTTTTTTCTTTTCTAATACAGGATCACTGGGAGCTCTGGTAGCATAGTGGCTAAGGCACTTGATTGCTAG